CAATTTTTCAGTATAATATGCAGCACTAACACTTGGAATTCCATCATTATGTTACACTGTTTCAAAATATTTTTGTGTAATTTTAGTAAATATATCTCTTAAAATGAGATGTCAGTATTATTTTTATTTTGGCATCATTAAGACGACAATGACAATTTATCCATCGCATCCTATGTAATTTTTTTTAAGTAATTCACCGCAAGCAAGACGGGAGTGCCACTAGCATGCAAGGGGTTGCAGAGGATTGAGAGCAAGAATAAAAAGGCGTGTTTGAGAAAATGATACAGAGAACGACGTGTGTCAAATGCCGATTGACATTACACTTGAATAATTGAGGATTATAGTCATCGGGGAAGTAAGTAAGGGGAAGGGAGTTCCACAGACGGGAAGTGCGGAAGAAGAAGCTGTTTGAGAAGAAGAAACGGTTACATTAAACCGTTTTGACAGTGAAAGGGTGGGACTGAGAGGCCAGCCTGGTACCTCGCTTAAATTCATGCAGTTTGGGAACCAATGAAAGAAGCTCGTCGGAACAGATGCCGTGAAAATACTTGTAGAAGAGACAGAGGGAAGGAACAGCACGTCCGTGGGAAAGCGATTTTAGACTATTTCAAAAATACAAGTCAACAGTGTTTGGACGAAAAGCGTCATATGTAGGAAGAAAAACTGTATACAGAAAACACAATATAGACAATATCTACTCAATATATGTACGTCTCGAAGTCCTCGACAAAATTCACGAATTTGAAATGCGATAGGTCCTGATCTGGTATCTAGTCTACAATTGCTTTCCCACGGACTTCCTGCTTGGGTAGCATAGTTCAGAATTAATTTTTTTTAAGCATTTCACACCAAGCAAGGTGGGATAACACTAGTACGCAGGGGCGTTACAGAGTGGTAGCGAGAGTAGGTGTGATGGAGGAAAGGATGAAGAAAAGGCCAGAGAATAGATCAAGGCATCTTGAGGTGTCAAATGACATTACATTTGAATAGTTGGAGATTATAGCTATCAGGGAAACAAGTAACAGGAAGGGAATTCCACAGATGGGAGGTGCAAGACATGAAGCTATTGAAGTAGAAGAGACAGCCACATTTAACCGTTTCAACAGTGAAAGGGTGGGACTGTCATGCCAGCCTAGTAGCACATTTAAATTGATGCAGTCTGGGAACTAGCGATAGTAGCTCGTCGGAGCAGTTACCGTGAAAGTATTTGTAGAATAGACAGAGGGAGACGACGGCACGTCTGTAAGAGAGCGACTGAAGACGAGATACCAGATCAGGGCCAACCACATCGCCTATCCCTCTCTGGATCTTGTCGAGGGCCTTAAGGCGAACAGTGGGGGCACCAGACCATATGTAGCAGCAGTATTCCATGCAAGGGCCAATGGTTGTAGATTTGAAGGATGGACTCGGGCGAGAAAAATTTTCTGGCGCGAAACAGAGAACCAACTTTTCTTGCGGCAAATGAAGCAATTAATTCAGTGTAATTGTTCCATCTCAGGTCAGCGGACAGTGTGAGACCAAGCAGTCGCAAAAATGTGTGCTCTTGTGGAGTAGAGCATCAGACATTCTAATGGGCGGCAGGGATGTTTCCCTGTGGGGAGTAATAGAGAGCAGTTTTGTTTTAGAGACATTAAGGTTAACCAGCCAATTCCTGCCCCAATCTACAACCGATTGTAGGTCATTTTCGAGACTAACGGCCAGGTTAGTTTTGTCAGCGATACCAGATTTGACACTGCTGCCAAACAGTCTTTCAGCGGCCACCGTCTTGACCCAGTGAAGCATTACCTCTTCAAAGCACTTGGTGCACACCTCTGTTGTTGAGTCTGAAAACCTCACCAACGAATTCTGGAATTCTTTTCTTATCAAAACAATTAGAGTGATTTTTGATGCTGTCGTAACTTGGTAATCACCATTAAACTCATCCAACTCTTTCCGAATCCTCTGCACTGTCCTCAGATTGACACCCAGCACTCTGAAATATTCGTATTGGAACTTCAGGTGCGAATGCCCAACAGAACAGTATGCCGTCTCTAAATTTCTGGCGGAATGAATTGCGCCATTTTACTCGTTTTCTCATAGATGGGGCCCAACAGACCCTACTATGCTGTGCAGTGGAAAAAAACAAAAACAAACAACGCACATGCGTGAAATTAAAACATAAGATTGCGACAATTTAGCAATCGCACCCTGTAGATATATGTTTGCTTCCATACCTGTCATGGTGGCAATAATGTACAAAATATAACACAAGAAACTAACAGTAAAGAAGACAAAAGAACCAGATAGTTCAACGTTTACTATGATTTTTATGAAAGAAAAGCTTCATTTCCCTGTTCGCTATAAATTTCAAATATAAATATAGTTACAACTGAATTTTATACAATGAATAAGATTAATATTAAATCAAATTTCTCACATCATTGTGTCGGGGACCGTTGAACCTTTAAAACGATATTAATAAAATTTCATATTTGCCGTTTCCTTCCCGATATATATTTATGTTAAGCCATCCCTTCGATATAAAAAATGATTCAAAATCTCACATCCACCAAAAACATTGATAATAGACACTAAATGAGTCAGTTATATGACTTTACAGAAAAGATTTTTAAATAATTTGCAATATTTGATACGTAACATACAAAATCATTGCATAACTTGGCTCCGAAAAAAATGGCTTCCCGAAATAAAAGTGAATCTATATTAACGACAATCTTAATGTTAGTTTACATGAACGGAATATATATATATATATATATATATATATATATATATATATATATATATATATATATATATATATATATATATATATATATATATATATATATATATATATATATATATATATATATATATATATAAAACACCAATATTCTAAATTTATTTAATTTATTACATTGGAATCGTAATACCGTGATTACGATTCCAATGTAATATTTTATAACCATGGAATATTAGTGTTTGAGGCTATTATATTATATTCTTACTCTGTCCTGGACATTGAGTTCTACCTGGATTCTATCCTCTTGGAATTTTTATATATATATATATATATATATATATATATATATATATATATATATATATATATATATATATATATATATATATATTAGCCACTGATATCATTATTATTATTATTATTTTATATATGTATATCAGGTCATCCCTGTAAGTTCTGTATTTGAATTTTAACTTTTTGTTAAAATGAACGAAATTTAAAGAGTATTTTATAATGTCTAATGGAGCTGAATATTATTTTTATGTTTAGATGCATTTAAACTGATCAAATTTTATTTCAGAGAACAATAAAATTAAATTTTGTTTGATTAAAACCCTGCTAACATGGAAGTACCCAAGAATCATTTGAGGCACATAATGCTTTATGAGTTCAAGAAAGGAAACTCAGCAGTCGAAGCGGCTAGAAACATTCACTCAGTTTATGGAGAGGAATGTGTGAATGAAAGAACTTGCAGAAGATGGTTAAAAAAAATTCAGAGGTGGAGATTTCATCCTTGAAGATGAAGATTGAACCGGACGTCAGTTGAGTTTGATCAAAAGCTTCTTGAAGCAGCCCTTGAAGAAAATCCTGCTTTATCAGTTGAGGAATTGGCAGTGGTTCTCAGTTCAAACCATACAACTGTTCATCCTCATCTTCAAAAACTTGGAAAAGTTCCTAAACTTGGAAAATGGGTACCTCATGAATTGTCAGAAAACAACCTCAAATCCCGAGTTGACATCTGCTCTTCTCTCCATTCTCGCCAACTTGTTTCACCTTTTTTGGATAGACTTGTGACTGGCAACGAAAAATGAATCTTTTATCAAAATGTTAAGTGTCGTAGACAGTGGCTTGGTAAAGGGGAAGGACCACAGCCACAGCCGAGAAGGGAACTTCATGGGCAAAAGGTTCTTTTTTCAATCTGGTGGGATCGCCAAGGAATAATCCACTTTGAATTCTTACCACCTAATGCAACAATTAATGCTCAAATATACTGTCAGCAATTAGAGTGTTTGAACCAAGCTTTGAGGAAAAAAAGACCTTCTCTAGTGAATCGAAAAGGGCTGATGTTTCATCAGGACAATGCGCGACCCCACACAGCAAGAAGCACGTCACAAAAGATCGAAGAACTTGATTAGGAGAAAATTCCTCATATACCTTATTCTCCCGATCTTGCTCCTTCAGACTACCATTTGTTTCGTAGCTTACAGAATCATTTGGAAGAAACAGCTTTTGTAACACAGGAAGAGGTTAAAACTGACATTTGTGAGTTCTTCGAATCAAAGCCAAAAGAATTTTACAGTAATGGAATTAGTAAGCTTGTTAATAGATGTAAGGACGTCATAGATAATCAGGGAAAATACATTGTTGATTGAATCTGTAATTAAATGTAACATTTGGTCATTTGTTTTCTTTATTCAAAACGCGGACAGAACTTATGGGATGACCTGATAAGAAAGACATTCGGATTACTAACACAAAAACAAAGAATGTTTCATATCGAGAATATTCAACATTGAAAAACATAAAGAAAAAAATAATTATTTTTAATATTATGTGGAAATCTCCGCTTTTACCTGAAGACGGTCACGAGACCAGAAACGCGTGTAGTAAAATTATGGAAAACAAAGCATAATATTTTTTTCTAAAAAAAACACATTACAACCAAAAACGTTTGCGGCACGTCTCTTCTCTTCTTTTTAATATACATACTTTTCTCTCGTTGGAACCACTATAACCTCTTTCTCTTATATATATATATATATATATATATATATATATATATATATATATATATATATATATATATATTCTTAGAGTATACAGTTCGTCACTTGCTGACGATGTTCTCTATGACTGGTAGGAAGATATCGATTTTTGGATGAACTCTTTTGCCTTCTCAAACCCGGGGAGAAGACTTTTCTTGCTGACTGATTCTTCTGTCATGTTTTCCGCTATCTTCTATCTAAGGAAAGATGTTGCTTTTAAGCTTCTAAATTCAAAATATTCCGCTGGCTAGCCGGAAAAAAGAAAGCAATGTACAAAAATTCTCTTGATATAATTTGTCATTGGCGATTTTGCTACAAGAGGCTAAAGGAAAAGACAAATTTAATTTTCACACAACGAAATATATAAACAACCATTACGCTCAAAAGGAGACGAAACCCCCCACCCCTATATAAACAAACACGATTTCCTTTTTGGAAGAAGCGTGCGGCGTTTGTTTATTTTCCCTCTTTCTTTCTTTCCCTTAAAATTTGGTAAAATCAGATGTTACCATTGTCTGTTTTGAAAATTGGTTGCAGATTTTTTTTTAAATTTTCTTTCCAACCACCGTCCTGGGTATGACGATAAACTACATCTGCGTCCTGGATAAGACGATAAACTACGTCCAACAGCAAGGCCTCTGATTAGGAGGTTTTGAGGAGTGTGGAACCACCTCTTAATTGTTGGTGTTCCCAGGTGCACCAGGACCTGCGGTGGTAGCACCTGTTGGGATCCCAGCTATGAGCGAATTGTTAACCCCAAACTGGGGCCAACACACTATGAAAGTGTAAAAATAAGTTTTAATACCAAAAATACTTTGTAAAAAAGTTATTACCAGCAAAGAATTTTTGAAGAAAAAAATTGTTACCAGCAATTTTTTCTTTGAAAAAAGAATTTTACAAGCAATACATTTTTGAAGAAAAAATATAACCAGCAATAAAAATCTTGTTGGCATTAAATAACCCATCGAGGTTGATATGGCGTAAAACAAAACTAAAAAAACCAATAGATAGATAGATAGATAGATAGATAGATAGATAGATAGATAGATAAAAAATATTACCAGCAATGAAAATCTTGTCGGCATTAAATAACCCATTGAGGCTGATATCAAAAACAAAACAAACAAAAACTTTCCTATCAACTCAATGTTCTTGTGTCAGACGCGAAGCTTAGTTGGTAGAAACAGTAAATCATGATAATAGACACAAAATTAAGAAAAGAAAAAGTCGACTATCGTGTAAAATTTTTAAATGGAAAGCATTTTATTTACAAATACGAAAATGTCCAATACAAAGGTTGCATAAAAATGTCCTTTTGTGCGCCTATTTCAGCAGGAAAACAATTTTCTCACAAGAAAAGCGATTAACCACAGACTCAAAAAAAACTATGTTACAATTTCCTTGATAAGGACATGGATTTAAAAGCAAAAAAATTTAACTTTTTAAAAATAGAAAAAGTGGAAAAATAATTGAGATAAGCAAAAACAAAATTGCATGCGGCAAAAATTTCAAAATGCACTCACCTGCGTTCTTCATTTTTTTTTTTTTCCTCTCTTTTTTAAGAATTTCACCCCAAGGCAAGGCGGGAGTGCAACTCACACGCAAGGTGTTACAGAGAATGAGAGCAAGAATAAAGAGGGGTATTTGAGGAAATCATAAAGAGATGGACGGGAATCAAGATCAAGCAAAGCATCAGAAGACGACGACTGACATTATATAGCTATCAGGGAAGCCAGTAAGGGGAAGGGAGTTCCACTGTCGGGAAGTGCGAGACAAGAAGCTATTGGAATAGGATAGACGGCTACATTTAACCGTTTCGACAGTGAAAGGCTAGGACCGAGATGCCAAACTAGTACCACGCTTAAATTCATACAACTTGGGTTACTTAATAATAATAATAATAATCACAAATAAAAATGGTGCCTCCTTATTGATATGGCAGTCCCTGCTGACTGCAATGTACCTTTAAAGATATTCAAAAGTTTGTCAAAATACAAGGACCTTGAAATAGAAATCTCGAAAATGTGGCATATGGGAACATCAACAATCCCTGTTGTAGTTGGAGCACTAGGACTGGTTGGAAAAGATTGCAGTAGACTAATTGAAGGGATTCTTGGAAGTCCATGCCTCAAGGAGATACAAAAAATTGTTCTGACAAGTACAGCCCACACCTTACGAAGGGCTTCGTCTATGTAATTTTTTTTTTTTTTTTTTTTTTTTGTCAGTGGAAAGTGTCATGAAGCCATTTCTAACCTTAGGTCCCTGGGTGGGACCCGGAAAGAAATGTGTAAACTCCAGAAATCAAAGAAAATAATAATAATAATAATAATAATAATAATAATAATAATAATAATAATAATAATCGTAATAATAATAATACATTAATTTTTAAGCAATTCACCCCACGATAAGAAGCTGTTTGAGTAGAAAAGATGGCTACATTTAACCATTTCGACAATGAAAGGAGGGCAGACCGAGATGCCAACGTAGTAGAACGCTTAAATTCATGCAGTTTTGGAACCAGTAAAAGTAGCTTGTCAGAGAATTTAACATGAAAATATTTGTAGAAAAGACAGAGGGAAGCCACAGCACGTCTATGAGAAATGGACTGTCGAAGAGATGCCAGATCAGGACCTAAGAGGATATTCAAACGTAACGTCTCAGCTCGAAATTGGGTTTCATGTTTTCAAATTTTCTCGAGTACCTTTTGAATTTTGCCGCAAAATGTTCTTCAGTGTGAACTCTTCCCCGGAAAGCTCAGAAAGGAATATTAGTCCTGGAGTAGAAATCTCCCTTGAATCTGTCCACTTGATTTATGGCCTCCTTCGCTGGACCAGTCCTTTGAAGCATCGGCTAAATGCCTTCCTCTTCCATTAATTACTTCCTTGTCAACGGCTCAGTCTCCTCTTCTTTTCTGCTCATAGCAGTCCCTTTTATGGAAAAAGCCGACGCTTGAGCCTACAAGGCCATAAAACATGCACCAATTTTCACACAAACCATCTAACCTATAAAAAATGCACTTCTCTCAAAAAATGTATATAAAAAAACACCTACACGATTAAACACAGAATTTTAATATTTTTGAAAAATAATAAAATTAAAATTTTTATAGATTATCTTTTAAGATAACTATGTTTACTATTTAAATATTTTTTTAATAAATATATTTTATGTTATACTCAGTTTCATATTGTGAAATTTTAAGAAATGATAAAATCAAATTCTAATACTCTTTCTTTTTTATGTATGCGTTCATGTTTATTCTCCATTGAATCAGATCTACCACTGTCTGTAGCAAAATATCGAGAAAGTTCTATTTATAAAGATCAAGAAAGATGAAGGAAGAGCATATTTTTAGTGAGTATGTGACTGGGCCCTGATTGTGGAAATTCTCATAGCAAAACAAGATTATGAATTTTTTCTCCTGAGATCGCCATGAAAAAATTTAGAATTATTATTTCATGGAAACCATTTTGTATGTTTTCTGCTCGTCCATAGTCATTTAATTTGGGGTCTGATAATGTCACTGTTGAAATAGCTAGAACCGCAGGTTTTATGTTGACAGCTTCTTCTCTTGAACATTTTGCTTGTAGAAATCACTTCCGCCTTCTTTGCTTTTCTGTTTTGTATGATCTTAATAAATATAAATGTACCGCCAATCGTTATTTTCTATCTCTTCCCATTCTTTTATTGTCCCCTTTGTTTCTTACACACACAGTAACCTTTTGGTCACTTTATTCCATTGCCAGTGGGGATGATTAAAAAGTGTCCATCAAAACTGCTTCGTTCAGCTGCGTTCAAGGCGTCTACTTGAAACGTGTCCTTAAAAAAAAAAAAAGAAAACATGTTCCTTTTGTTTAACATACCTGAAAAATGAATGTTTTAAGAAATACTGAAATCTTCAGTCTCTTAAAATATTCAATGTGTGCCTGTGTATGTGGGAGTGTGTGCGTGCATATATATATATATATATATATATATATATATATATATATATATATATATATATATATATATATAATATAATATATATATATATATATATAGCCAAGAAAATAACAGCACACGTGGCCTGACGATTGCATATAGCAGGAAACAGACTGTCGCCTCTAAGTGTTGACTTCTATGTTCACTTTTATATTTATATATATATATATATATATATATATATATATATATATAAATATATATATATATGTGTGTGTGTGTGTGTGTGTGTGTGTGTGTCCAGACCACTACTAAATAACAAGCTACTCAATTTGCATGAAATATGGCAAGCACATGACTTTTTACTCCTAGACATGTTATAAAGATTTTGGGTTTGTGGTAAAGTTTTTTAAAAAATTATGTGTGCATTCAAAAATAATCATGAATAAGAATGTTTTGACAGAGGACGGAAAGTGCGACACTAAGATCCGAAGACGTATTGGGATGGCCAAAGACGCATTCCAAAAGCTAGCGAAGGAGAGCGAGAAGAAAGGACTAACTATAAACGACAAGAAGGCAGAATGCATGCTCATCAGTAAAAGGATGCGCCCGAAATGTAATTTGCAGGTCGGCAACGCTAAAATTAATTATCTGAGAAGTGTTTTGACAGAGTGCGACACTGAGATCAGAAGGCGCATTGGGATGGCCAAGGACGCATTCCAAAAGCTGGGCAGAGTATTGCGATACAGGAGGAGTTCTTTGGTAACAAAGAAGAGATATGGAGGCAACGGAGATATGGTTCTACAGAAGGATGCTAAGGATACCATGGACCGAGCGTGTGAGCAACGATGAGGTTTTGGAGAGGATGCAAACAAGGAGGAAGCTTATACTTAACATCAAGAAGAGGCAGATAAAATTTCTGGGACACATATTGAGAAAGGAGGGCTTGGAGAATCTGATACTTACAGGTCGAATAGAGGGGAAGATAGACAAGGGAAAGCAACTCATGACATATCTGGCGGGTTTAAGCAAGTGGATGACAGAACATGGCCTGGGGGAAGTAACAAAGGGACAATACTTATTGAGAGCTACAAGAGATGGGGAAAAGTAGAGAGCCATGGTCTCCAACGTCCTGAAAGGACACAGCACATACAAAACGAATAGCAGTAATCAAAGTTATTTCCCTTTATTTATGATTTGAAATATCAAACCTTCACGTTGTCCGCTTGTGATGTCAGATTTTTTTTTTCTGTAGAGAATCTTTTTGTAACATTTTTCTAAATATATTTGAAAGTCATTAATCGGACACAGAACCTAAGGTTAAATATTTTCAAAAAGTCTTCATTTTAAATGAAATATATACCATTAATATACAAAAATAATTTTAAGCATCATACTTATTATAAAACCCAGGTTGTGTGTGTGTGTGTGTGTGTGTGTGTGTGTGTGTGTGTGTGTGTGTCTGTTCGTTTATATATTGGATCGAATTTCCTACATTTTTCAACCGATTTCATCAAAACTTCACAGGACTACGTAAAATTACCTTACGGTGATTCTGACAGCGCCAAAAAAATTGGGAAAACACAATTATTTTGGCACAAAATCAATTTGAAAACACGATTAAGAGGCATCGCTGTTTCGAGAATGGAAGGGGACAACTCATATCGAGTTATACTTATTATAAAACCCAGGTTGTGTGTGTGTGTGTGTGTGTGTGTGTGTGTGTGTGTGTGTGTGTGTGTGTGTGTGTGTTCGTTTATATATGCGATCGGATTTCCTACATTTTTCAACCAATTTCAACAAAACTTCACTTTTGTTTGGCAGGTAGTGTTTCTTATTGTCTTGCACACTTTTTTCTTTATTTTTACATTCAGAATGCTTTAAAAATTCCATTTACAAGACAATTGTTTATAATAAAATTCTATTCAATCGGTAGACTCATAACGATTGAAAACAATGTTTTTGTTTGAGTTTGGGTTTGACCAATTCGTAAAAAAAAAAAACTAATTAAGACATGCGTGTCCGTCAACCTTAAACAATAATCTTTGTCAATTTTATTTTTCAGTCTTTATGATGGTCGATACTTGATCTAGCTCTTACTGTTACATCCCCGGGCAACCCCGGGCTCTACTGCTATAAGCCAGGAAAGGGACTTGAAATTTGGAAGGATTGGAA